GGGAGACGGAGGGAGACGGAGGGAGACGGAGGGAGGGAGATGAGAGCAAAGCATTGATCGGCTGCCTCCTTCATGCTCCCCACAGGGGATCAAGCCCGAAACCAGGGCATGTGCCCTGACTTGGAATTGAACCCCAACCTTTCAGTGCACAGGACGACACCCAACCAACTGAGCCACACTGGTCAGGGCAAACATAACATCTTTTACATGTCAGGTCAGATACACTGTAACAGTGATTGAAAAAGTGTTTTATTAAGGTTGAATTGCAAGTACCAATCTACTTCTTCAACGCTCTCAGAAATCTGTCTGGCTGAAAGATTTGAGGATAACAAAAAACATCTGAAGACATGCTTGTATGTTGTTTATCTAGTTTATTCATTTGACAAGCACTTGTTGAACATGATATGCAAAGTATGTGTTAGATTCAGAAATAAGAACGTGGTTTCTGCCCTAAGAGTTCAAAGCTCGGTGGTGTAGAACAAAAAAAAAAGTTACCAATGACAAGATGCTAAATGCTACAGACAGGTATTCATGGCCATGAGCATATAACCATTTTGAGATTTTTCTATAGGGATAAAATGAACACAATACTACTTTATATTAAAATAAGGGTTTGAAACTTCCAAGGTCCTTTCACATTCATGCACAACCTTGTGTGGCTGAACAGCGGGTAACTCTCACCATTTCCCTTGAACTGATGTTGAAAGAGAAACTAGGGATGGTGTTTAAATTGTCTGAAGCCAAGCTGGTAATAAAGGACAGAATCAAGTTTAAACCCAGGTCCTTTGATTTATTTCAGTTCCCTCTACTATGCCATTTAAATTCAGGCAAACCGTTTATTAATTTAAGCATTTAGCAAGTATTTGTTGGATGTCATCTCTGGGCCAAGCCCTTTGCTGAGTCCTGAATGTGCTTGTCTGCTGGCGATGGACTCGCCATTTCTCTTCATGTCATTCATTACGTAAGTCCAGCTGGGCTCACTCTTCGTATTATGTCTCTACTTGAAAGACTCTGAGGCCTGGGACTGAAGGAGACCTGAGCTTAGGAGTAGCTATTCTAAGAGCTCTTTTGTAATCCCTGTTTCTAAGGAAACTGTTTCCTCCATTACTGAGAAGAATGGCTGCTTCAGACGGGGCTCTTCTCTCTGGAGCTGATCAAACGTTGCAGGGTAGCCTTTGGGAGCTCTGAGAGGTGTTATACTCCTCAACAAAGGCTGCTGGAGGTGTGAGTCCATTTTCACAATCTAGGACAAATACGACACTGAGAGCCTATTAATAAAGTCAGGTCTCATGGGGGAGAGTGAAGGGACCGACTGATGTTAATGAAACTGTGTGGTCATTCTGGCCCTGTAGCTCCAACTAATTGAAAATGCTTGAGTAAAAGCAATGATATTTTACAAAAACTAAATATAATAACCAGATGGGCTAATTTGATTAATTTATTATATTTTTAACTAAAATTGTGAATAAGTTCTACACACAGAGATTGGCTTGAAAATTTTGATTATACTGGTTAAAAAAAAAAGTCTCTTGACTTACCTGAAAAACATGTAAAGGAGGAGATGGAGGAAATAGATCATGGGCCTTGGATCTCGGCTGACATGGTTCAGAAACTAAACTCTACAGTAAACTATAGTAATAATAATAATAATAATAATAATATAAAACACTTCTATCTAAAGTGAAAGCGAGAATTAAATAGCTTGGACGTTTAACTTATTTTAGCGTCACTCACTATCTCAATTAATCATTAAGGAAACCCAAGACCACAGTTGTGATACCACATTATACACCACTGTAAAATAAAACATAATCTTTGTCTCAAGACTTCAATAATCTAATTTGAAATACATATTTACATCAACTAATAAACTTACCCAGCACTTATAATGTGCCAGGAACTGTGCTTTAAATTATACTTAGTAAAAAAACTTCCTTATATTTTTATAGTTGAAATTTACTAAGTCCCTGTATGTGGTAATCCATTATTAAAATGCATTTTATTTATACTTCCTGCCTCCATAATTTCTAGAGAATAGTGCCTTGCACATAATTATTGATTAAAAAATATGAGTTGAACTGATGCTGGTGGGTCAGGTTTTAGATTGCATAGAAACTATATTTCATTTTGTGGCAATGTGACCAAATACTGATATTTGACATTAAAAAAATGCCTAAAATTGAAGAATTTATTTACATTTTCGAGGCTCTTCATTTACAGAAATGGAATATAAAACCCATAAGAGCTATATATTTAAAATGCAATAAAGGTTGTTAGCCTTATTATGAATTAAAAAATGGATTTATAATCCAGCCCCTTCAAGGTTTTGTCGAATGTGTTTCTCTTCCCTCTGACTCTGTCTCTGTCTCTCTTCTACTCCTCCGTCTGGCTAATGATAAATTTTTGCAAAAACGATAAATTATACTTAAGAATATAAAATGGGCACATAAATATGAATCACTCTGATAAGATTCAAGGTAGCGTATTCATACACTCACAATGTACTGACTCATGGCATACTTCTAGAACATAAAAAGCTTTGCTCGTTTATTCTGCGTAATTACTTATTCTAGAAACAGGTAAGTGGTCATTTGGAGACAGGATTCTTCCTGCCTTTGTCCATGGAGAGCTTATGATGGGTTCAGAAAACCAACCATTCAACTGCCCACATTACTTAGGGTCACGTATTCTCTCCCTCTGGTTCTTCACCAGGTTGGCATGCTGTCTGCGGTGCCGCACTTAGTAATGACAATTATTGTGCCTATTGGAGGGCAGATCGCAGACTTTCTAAGAAGCAGGCAAATCCTCTCAACCACTACAGTAAGAAAGATCATGAACTGTGGTGGTAAGTACGTAAGTGATGTGAGGATTAAGAACATGTTTTTAGTTCGAGGAGTTCTGGTTTGCATAAGTAACTTCTCCTATGCATATCAAATGTGCAGTTACATTTACGTCTTCATTGTTCATGTATAATCATTTTTTCATCTTACTTTAGATTTTCATAACTCTTAGTTTGAAGTAACTGTGTAACTAACTTGACCTTTCCCACTCACCATTGAAACTTGAGGTTGTTTTTATTCAAACACAAGGGAGGTTTCAGGAATCTTTGTGTATAAATCATTACTGTCATTATTATTTTTAAGATAGACTGCCAGAAGGGGTTTGCTAGGGCATTTTTGGCAGTTTGGGCTCATTGGAAAAATTTACACAAATTTCTGAAGTGTTTTCATGTGTTTGTTTCTGAAGGTTTTGGCATGGAAGCGACTCTGCTTCTGGTCGTCGGCTACTCTCACACTAGGGGGGTAGCCATCTCCTTCTTGGTACTTGCCGTGGGGTTTAGCGGATTCGCTATATCAGGTAATATACATTTTTAAAATTTGTACTTGTGACATCTGATATTGGCTGACAATAGTAAGATGATCTATCTACCTATCTATCTATCTCCATATATTCTACCTTCCTCTTTAAATATTTTGACTCAAGTAAGTTTACTCAACCTATTTCCACTAAAAATTAAATTAAAAATAATAAAACATTTAGAAATCATTCTTTAGATTTGCTTCTGCTTACTTTCTCCCTTCTTACTCTTTTTATTTAATTATTTCTTTTTTGGTTAAGAGAACACATCTCCTTCCCTCTGTGGAGTGAGCATCACATATTAAACATTATATAAGAAATTATACCACATTTTATTCTCATGATATCCCTGAGCTAAATTATAAAAAAGCAGTCGTTAGGCACCTGCTCTGTACCTAATATCTTTTAAGGAGGGTGGTGAGTGTGGTGGAGAATGTTCTACAGGCACTTCTAAGAGGCTTGGGTTCTCTGAATCACAGGTTCTGTGTGTATTCCAGGTTTCAATGTTAACCACCTGGATATTGCTCCAAGATACGCCAGTATCTTAATGGGCATTTCGAATGGAGTTGGCACCTTGTCGGGAATGGTCTGCCCTATCATCGTGGGTGCGATGACAAAAAATAAGGTAAGCTGGACCAAAGCAGAATGTTCAGTTGGAGAAGAGTCTCCCTCGTGGCTGGGGAAAGGGCTCAGAGAGTCTCTTTGGCATTTCTTTCCCGGCCCACTCACCACACTCCTGAGTAGGGGAGATGACTGAGACTCAGAAGAAAATACCTAAAAGCTCTGAGTGAGCCCTCTATCCAAACCAATAAGCAACTGCTTCTCAACGCCTTTTAATATTCCTGATATCCCTGATGTAGTTAAAACACACACACACGAAACCTTACTCCTAGCTCATGAGGATGGGCAAGCAGGAACCTTCTGAGCTTTATTTACAAACCTTAACTCAGGCCCCTCTGCACTGAGCAGCTGAAGAATATAATTATCAGCTACTTGTCCTTATATGTAGAGCTTCCAAATTATGGTTTCCTAGAAGGAAATAAACAAAAGAAGAGAAAAATATTAAGTAAACCAATGATACATATGTTTAAACTGAGCAGACCATAGATATATTTGGAATTCTTTCAGGGCATTAGGTTTAATTTTTTAAAAAATGATGAACGTTACAGTGTTATAGAAGGTTTCGGTCACGGGATCTGCTTCAAATAATCAGAAAGAGGTTGCCCCTGAAGCCAGCTTTTTGTGAAAAGCCTGACGGCGGAGCATTTAAGAAGATGTCTCAGACATAGGGAGCTGGCTCTCACTGACGCGTTTGTCCCCGCAGTCACGCGAGGAGTGGCAGTACGTCTTCCTGATCGCTGCCCTCGTCCACTACGGCGGAGTTATATTTTACGCAATCTTTGCCTCAGGAGAGAAGCAACCCTGGGCAGACCCTGAGGAAACAAGTGAAGAGAAATGTGGATTTATCCACGAAGATGAACTTGATGAAGAAACGGGGGACATTACTCAAAATTATATAAATTATGGTACCACCAAGTCTTATGGCGCCACGACGCAGGCCAACGGCGGGTGGCCCAGCGGGTGGGAAAAGAAAGAAGAATTTGTACAAGAGGAAGGGCAAGACTCGCGCACCTATGAGGACCGGGATGAGTACTCACAACACAGCTAATCGCTGGATTTATTCTTAGTGTTTGTGATTAACTTAATTGTGATTGCACACAAATTTTAAAAATCTGTGCTGTGAACATGTAAACATATCAACCAGGCAAGTCTTGCTGTAAAAATGAAATGAAAACAAACTCATGAATTACCATCAAGTGCAATCTGTAGAAGTTGTGAAATCCCATCATTTCCATTCAGGTCATCTATTCTTGCGTTTGTGCTTTAAAGGTTGACTGACCAAAAACTGTAGAAGCCAGTAGTTACTCATTGGATTCATGTGAGCTAAAACTCATCACCATTTAGTAAAGCACAACTAAAACAGTTGGCACATTTCATCCTGCAAAGGTTAGGAAGCCAAAGCTACTTGATCATGTCAAATGCACTTATATATTTGTTACACGGCATTGCAAAATCTCATGCAGAAGTCCTGTTTAAAAAAAAAAAAAAAAGTAATGCCATTGTTGGCTACATTGGATGTTGACAATGTTTATTGGCTATAAATCATGAAGTTGGGGTATCTCTCAATTAGAGAAGAATATTGTGGGCTAGCAACTAGCAAGGCATATAAAATAACTATAATTATTACATAATGTGGGCTATTTTGTTGGTTATCAAAAGAAATGTCTTGCAGTGGTTTATATGAAATGCTTGGGCACAAACACATATCTGTGAAAGAGAATTTGTAAAGTGTGGGGTATGCTTCATGTTCTTCCATTCATTTACCTGACAGTATAAAACACTTCACATTTTAATAAATCTGACTTTTCTCATGTAGCATATCACATAACTTTTTTGCAAAAAAAAAATTAAAAAAAGACTTCAATGTATTTTTTATTACAACTTTGTACAGGTTGTAACTTGCATTAGGAAAAAAACAGATGCACACACTGTAAAGAATCTAATAAGAAATTTGCTATGGAAATAGAGCCCTGAACATGCAATATTAACAACAAAAGAAATAGAAAACGGTTTAGATATTCTTTTTCCTTAATAATCAAATACTATATAAAACTTGTGCCACAGAGCTATATATAATATAAAGAGATAAATTTAATAGAGAGACTGTAAGTAGATAATTTTATTATTTAAAGTCCCATTTAAAATATATTTGTCTTATATAGGACAACAAATTATATTAAAATTACATCTATATATATATCTGTATATCTTATACATATCCATACACAAAAACATAATAAACAATCTTCACACACACAAAAATAGCATACACCTAATGTTGGGTTAGGGGACTGCAATTTCTACTTTCCTAGAGTCATAGAATTTTAGATGGGGCAGAGGCATTTTGCTTGTCACTTCTTAATATAACTCAACAGTAATTGCAACATTTGTGTACCAAGCAATAAGTGTAATGCATAGAATTTCCTGTCTGTATATTATCTTTATTTTGCTTGTGGTAGCTTTTTGGGTGGTTGGAATGATTTTTTTCTTTTAAAAAATTAACATCAGACCTCTTTTTCATGTTCGAAAATGATAATAATGCATTTCCCAATTCAACTCAAACCATTCTTGGCGTATTTAACTGTCTATTCTGGGTATTTGATCTGTCCATTGTATTGTGCTAGTGACTGGAGGCCCTGCTACTGCAAATATAAAACATAAAGTTTGTTTTAAAAATGCAAACCATCCTTGACCTTAAGAAAATAAAAATATCTTTTGCTTTGTGTCTCAAAGTGATGCAATGTGATCATAGCTTTTGTTGTGTTGAATGAAAAGATGCAGACTATCATTTTGTTGCTGCAAAAAAAAATGTTAATAAAATGCTCTATTTATCCTTTTGTAAAAAAACAACAACAATGCATTATTTTGGGTTTATTTTATTTAGATTATAGCTTTGATGTGAAGTTAGCTTGTGTATGATTCAAAGAATCCAAATCTAGGCTCAAGAAGAACTTCTTTTTAGTCACTTGAGATTTAATGGAAAAACATGGCATTCTTTAGATTGTGTGGGATGTGGGTCCATAGAGAGAGTTTCACATCAAGAAATAGGTCTGGGAGTCAAACTCTATCTCCCTATGGCAGTCTTCCACAACTTCTGCTAAGCTTAAAGAAAAATTTAGGGAAAGAACTCAAAGCTTGTCGGTCAGTGATACTGCCTAATTTCGATCACACACATACTTTGTGCTGGGCACTGCCCTAAACAATTCATGTAGAGTATCTTATGTAACCCCACAGGGACCCTCCAAAGTAGGAACTCATTTTATTCCAGATTACAAGTGAAGAAACTGAAGCTGAAGAGGCAATCGTTTGGCTGAGATGCCCTACTTTAAGGATGTGCAGAAAGGAGAGATCTATGAGAACTTTACTACTCAAAGGGATTTATGGATGACTCAGTTGACACCCCTTATTAAACAAGTGAGGACACTGACGGTCAATAAGAGAAACTGACTCGACCAAGAGGACATAGAGGGTGTTATGGATTTAGAAAGAAGTTGTTATGATTAGATATATTTTTGTTTTTATTTTCTTTTTAAGCCAGGTTTTTACTTAAGGAATTAGTTTAAAACTATTTATTGCTCTAATCACTATGCCATATCCAGCACTCACATAACCTGGTGTGTGTGGGTAGGCAGGTATGGGGTGAGGTGAGGGAGTATATGTCTTCTTCCTGCATTTCTCTGCTTAAAGAAACAATGGCCAGCCCTGGCCAGTGTGGCTCAGTTGGTTGAGCACTGTCCTGAGCACCGAAAGCCCACCGGTTTGATTCATGGTCAGGGCACATGCCCAGGTTGCTGGTCAGAGTGCCTGCAGTGGCAACCAATCAATGTTTCTCTCTCTCTCTCTCTCTCTCTTCCTTCCTCTCTCTCTAAAAAAATCAATAAAAACATAATTTTAAAAAACTGATGAAAGAAACAGTGGCCAGAGACCAAGCCTAATTCTTGAGGAGGCTCATATGCCATCTTTGCATAACTTGATGGCAGGAATAAGACTGTCTTGAATCTAACACTATATAATTTCCCTAGTTCCATAAGACAAACATTTACAGCTCCTGTAAGAAAACTGCTCTAATGATGTCTCCTAATATTTCCACTAGCCATGCTCATTTTCTCTTTTCTCCATCATGGAAAGTCACCATCCCCTTCTCCTTTCTGCCCTTTTTGACATTTTCCTCCTGGACCTGATGCCCATCCCCATCTGCTCATTATATGTATCTGGTATTTTGCAGTTTGCAAAATGCTTTTTTCCATGCATTACCCCGTTTTGTTCACACATCTGCCTTGTAAAATTGAAAGGCCACACACATATTAATATTAGTATTTCTATTTTACAAATAAGGGACTAAGGGTGTGATTAACTTCTTAAAGATTGCCCATGCAGGGCTGGAACAATAATACAAGCTATCTGGTCTCAGCAAGAGAGTAATTTCACCATTAAATCACTTGGTTACTCTTCTGATTATAAATGTAGTATAAGGCAAGAGGAGCCCTTTATTAGGTAAAGAAGAGTATTAAAAACAAAAAAAAATAAAGGTAATTAATAATCTTGATATCCAGACATAACCACTGTTAAAAGATTTCTAGAATGTTTTCTATAAAAACCACATATACGGAAAGCTCACATATACTTTGTAATTTGCAAATTTGAAATCATACTTGGTCTATTATTGCAAACTACTTTTTCCATTTGACATTTTAGCATGTGTATACTCCTATTTGAGTAATAGTGTTCTGTAGTCTAATACTCTATTGCGTACCATGAGCTGTATTTAAGGTATTTACTTATCCTATGCCTTACTTATGACATTTCTTCTTGGCACTCTTTTCTCTCTTTCTCTCTGCATGGGTGGATCATATGGGAAAATATAAAGTCACACATATATACATTTAACATTTATAACCATGACGGATATTTAAGTTACTATCTGTAGTTTACTTTTCCTGTGTTTGTCTATAGAAAGTACTACTGGCTATTGGCTTGCCTGGGGTTCATTTACTAAACTCACTTATTTACTCAATAAGGATTTACTGTGGCAGTCCCTGGGCATACACTGGTAAGAAGGTAAATCTAGTCTCCACAGTCCTGGACCTTGAAGTCCATTCTCTGCCCTGAGGTGTTTGCAGCACACCCAGGTGCCCAAGTCAGGCCACACATGTGACCAAGAGAAGAGGCTCTTGGACATGGCACCCTTGCTAACCCTCCTGAGAAAGGACTTTCCTTAATCCCCCAAGCTCCCAAAGCTGGGCTGCTATCAAGGTGCTCCCCATGTCATTTTTAAAAATAGTTTTAGGTGATGAAGCTTTTCTCAGCCTCAGACATCCCCATGCTGCAGAGCCTAGGCCTTGGGGGAAGGTCAGAATCAACTTTCTCCAGGATCTGAATCTGCAGGAGGGGAGGTGGATGGGCTGAACCCTTTAAGCACATTTTCCATCTGGATCTGCAGATTGCTTTCTGTTTCCCCCCTGGGTTTCTAACGACCTATACACTTTCTCTTTCCACTTCCCCCCCTTCATGTACATGCTGCCTCCCTCAGCTTTAACAACAAATAGTGGCTACTGAGATGCCATCCTTACTATAGTGATACAATTACCAGGGTGAGCTTTTGGTTTTTTCTTTTCTCTCCATTCTCATGAAAAACATCAAACCTGAATTGTTGCTCTGGGGCTGTCAAACCAGTTACTGATGTAGGTTGATCTACACTATTCAGTTCCTTAGAATGCTCAAACTTATTTATGCTCCCCAACTCCACCCCCCCCCCCATACAACCAGGCACCTAAAAATTGCATAATCTGGATATATTACCCTGTCTTTTATCCAAATCCAGCAGCTCTTATCGAATGAAACCCTCCCCGGCTTTCAGCAAGAGCAAGCAGAATGTCTAGTTTTGTTAAGTCACGTTTGAGGGCCTGTTTTGTTGCTTTGCTCCTTACGCAGTAGAGGAAGGTCCCCGCACCTGAGCGAGTTTGCAGCCTCTGCCCTGATGCGTCACAGCGCTGCCAATAAAGAGGATTGAAAGGACCCACGGCCACCAGTCTCCTTGGTCTCTGCTAGAAGCTTAGAGATGCACTTTTTGGCTCAATTGCTGTTTTCCTTTCCCTTTCTTGGTTTTATTTAGTTTCTGTTTTTCATTATTTCTTTGTTTAGTTGCTATTTACCTTTGATTTTATTTTAAAAGAGGAAGTGAATGAGGGATCCAACAATAATAATAGGAGCTATTCATATAGGGTATATGAAATACCAGGCACCGTTCCCAGGGATATTTATATATTTTTATATATATTTATTTATTTTTTATTTTTTATATTTATATTTTTATTTAATCTTCAAAATAACCCTTTGTGTTAGGTACTATTATTAACTCCATTGTATAAATGAGGGCACTCACCCGCTGGAAAGTTAAGTACCTTATTCAAGATCACACAGCTAATGGAGTACATTTAGAATGTTGTACAAGCCTCTGTCCCCAGACCTTGTACTTTTCATTACTGCCTCTAAATAGCTGTGTGACTTTGGTAAGTCAATTTCCCTGAGGCTCAGATTTTTTCATCTGCAATGTGGCACTCTAATACCAAATTGGTAGCTGGTTTTGCAATGAAAGTAACGTATCAAGTAGTTAGCTCAGCACCCTGCCCGTTAATAAGAGTTTAACCAATGTGACTTCCCCTTCCCCTTTCCCATAATGCTAAGTAAATAAAGGCATTAGCCCTTCAATTATAACTTCAATGTCAAATTCATCACAATGGGCCATTTTGGAAACTTTCTTGAGATATTTATATTCTTATAAAAAATTACTCAGGTTGGTTACTTCAATTATTTTCCCAATTGTATTGTATAAATTTTATGTGTCACAGAACAATAGACACCATAGGATGTTGTATGTAAAATATAATATATGTAATTCTAAAAATATAAGATACTATATATACTGTGTAGTAAGAAGATAAAGGCAGGGATTGGAAGGACACATACAAGTGTTCATAGTGATCGCATCTGGAGAGGAAGAAAGACAATGAACTTGGGAAAAGCATTAAAG